CCCAATTCGGCAATGCGCCGCGCCGCACCACCAGTCCCCGCCGCTCCGGAGCCGGGCTTGTCCAGACCCGAGGGGGAATCGCTCCGAAGCTTTGGGCTCCACCGTGTGGAAATGGCCGTATCGTATGGACATAATGGCTGTACTGATTTCTTGCAGCTGGAGCTGAGCTTGAGACCACCTTCCCACTCCACGGAGTGGGGTTAAGGTCCAAAATGCCCGATAGACTCCTTGGTCCGTGTTTCAAGACGGATTGGCAGGGCTAACGACAATCGCCAGCGGACCTGGGGCGCCTCGGCGCTGCCGACACCGGCTGGGGACCCTCTGGCGGGCCGGGCAGCCCTCTGGCGGCGCACGGGCGGGCGAGGCCCGTCGTCCCTTCCTCGGCCGGGCGGCCGGCGCGACCACGGCCGTTCTCTATGCTCTCCGACCGGCCCCCCCGTCGGGGGACCGGGGTGGCCGGAGGAACCCCAACCAGCCGGCCTCTGCCGGCCCGGATGCCCAGCCGGTCGCAGGCGCCGCGCTCGGGAGAAGTGCACGCGGCAGGGCGCGGAGGTGCCCTCAGGCCCTGCCCCCCGGCGAGGTGGGTACTGGAAGCGTTGGTCGCCTGCAGTGGCCTGACACCCGCCACGGGACGGAGGGGACCTCGATTAGAAGGACCTCAGCGCCACCGCGACTGTCGGACCGGGCATCCCTACGCCACAGTTCCCTTGGGCCCGCTGGGGGCCTGGGGACTCGGCGCTGGGCTCTTCCCGCTTCGCTCGCCGCTACTTGGGGAATCCTGGTTAGTTTCTTCTCCTCTGTTTTGTAATATGTTTAAATCCAGCGGGTCCTCTCGCAAGAATTGAGGTCGATGGGTTCGCAATAGGCCTCGCCTGCCTGGCCTCCTTCCTGCGCGCTCCCTCGAGGCCGCCCGTGTCTTTTTTGTTCGGATGGGGGGACGACTGGCGCTCGTGGGTGAGGCGGATAGTCAGCACCGACCTGCCACGCCACGGTGGACTCCCTCGGGGAGCGACCCAGACTCCGGGCGGAGACTGCGCCCGGCCAGTGCCCCTTGCTTGCCCGCAGATTCCCATATCATCCTCGCCGATGGCTCAAGCGCGGACCGTCCAGGTCTTTCGGAAACCGATACCCCCCCCCCAAAAAAAACACCGGCTGGAGCCGGGCTGAGCGGGGACCGGTCGCCTCTCCCGCGGCGGCCCCCTTCCCCAAGGGGGGCCGCTCCGACCGCGTCTCACCGATCCCCCCGGTCCATTCGAGGCCGAGCCCCGTCGTCCCGGGACCCCGGCGAGCGCTGGGAGTCCTGCGCCCACTCGGCAGGGGCTGCGGCGCACCCTGGCGTGTGCCACTCCCACCTACACCCGGAAAACAGCACGGTGGCCGGCCTCTCCGCCTCGGCGGAAGGAAGCGGGCCGGCCGGGCACGTTCTCTCTGCTCGGTAATGATCCTTCCACAGGTTCACCTGCGGAGGCCTTGTTAGGACTTTTACTTCCTCTAAATCATCAAGTTTGATCGTCTTCCGGGCGCACAAGCGAAGCGCCGGGGGCATCACAGACCTGTTATTGCTCAATCTCGCGTGGCTGAACGCCACTTGTCCCTCTAAGAAGTCAGAGCCCTGGACGGCGGCCGGCGCGACTATTTAGCAAGCCGCCACCCGGGCTGCTGCTTGGCGTTACCGCGGGGGCTGCCCGCCCCCTGCCCGGCGGGCGTGCTGCGGGGTCGCGCGCGGTTCCAGCCGCGGGGGGCCGCTGCTGCCTCTCCGGGCCTGGGACGCCGTTGCGCGACGTCGGTGCGCCTTGGGCTGCCGGGACCTGGCGGAGGTTGGGAGTGGGCCGGTCCCTCTGCTCTGCGGAAGCTGCCGGGCCGATGTGGACGTGGCAGATATTGCTGCTCGGGGGCAGCGGAAGGACCTGCCGCTCTCCGAGGGGCCCTACCCCCCTCTCTCTGTCACGGCCACGCAGCATTGCACCTCCCGTCCCTGGGTCCTTCTGGACACCTCGGGGGAAGGCCGGGCGGGCCGGCCAACGCTCTCCTGCGCAGGAGGGGTCGGCCGGCCGCGCCGAAAACGCCGTTGACAGAGCGCCCGGAGAGCCTCCCGGCGGGGCGGCAGGCCGCCACTTTCATTGAGCCGCTGTGGAGCGGGGCTTGTCCAGACCCAAGGGGGAATCGCTCCGGAGCTTTGGGCTCCACCGTGTAGGAATGGCCGCATTAAATGGACGATATATGGCTGTACTAATTTTTGGCAGCTGGAGCTGAGCTCGAGACCACCCTCCCCCCTATAAATAACCAAGCCAGGGAGTGGAGGTTAAGGACCAAAATGCTCTCATTGAAATACGCACGTTTTGGGCCCAACTGGTCCCGGGGCATAGCCCTCTCAGAGGCCTTGGGTGGGCCAGCGAGCCGATGGACGGCAGGCTGGAGACGCCCGGCCCGCCCGGCTCTAGGGAACCCTGGACATCCGAACCTCTGGGGCCAGGTTTTCCGAAGAAGGCAATTCACCGCGCCGCAGCAACCGCACCACCGCCCCAGAGTTGGGTTCGCCCAGGGAACCGTCCCGGAGCTTGGCACTCGATCGTGTAGGAAATGCACGGCTATAATCGGACAATATAGCACTCTCAGAGTCCTGGGCGGAGCCGCCCGGCCCGCTCGGCCGCAGGGAACCCCGGACATCCGAACCTCTCCGACCCTGTTTTCCGCGGACGGGGATTCACCACGACGCACCGCGGGTCCCACGGGCCAACGAGCCTGCCGCCCGGTAGGCAGGTGTCTCCTTCGCCGCACCGTCGGGGGATTTCTCAGGCCAGGCCGGGGCCGTGGGGCCTTGCGGCATGCCCTTCCCCCACCTTCCCCCTATAAATAGGCGAACCAGGAAGTGGGGGTTAAGGTCCAAAATGCTCTCATTGAAATACGCACGTCATTA